ACATCACTTTTCAAAGGTAGAGAACCATATTTTGTAGTGAGAACTACCGCTGAATGGAGCGATTGCTTGTGAGTGGTACACACACACCACAAGACATCACCACTCAGATTAGTGATCATTAAAAACTGTTCCGATCACCGCTCGCCACTGTCTACCGCGAAGCCGCGTACGAACGAAATCCGCTCGTTCGCCGTCAGCAGCGCACGCCAAGGGTGCCAGAAAAAGCGCTACCCGTCGTCGTCAGCAGCGCCACGTCAAGCGCGCCAGCGAGAGCGCTATCCGGCGCCGCCAACAGCGCACCCGCAAGGGCGCTACCCGTCGTCGTCAGCAGCGCCACGTCAAGCGCGCCAGCAAGAGCGCTATCCGGCGCCGCCAACAGCGCACCCGCAAGGGCGCTACCCGTCGTCGTCAGCAGCGCCACGTCAAGCGCGCCAGCAAGAGCGCTATCCGGCGCCGCCAACAGCGCAACACCAAGCGCACCCGCAAGAACGCTACCCGTCGCCGTCAGCAGCGCACGACAGGCGTACCGAGGCTAGCAGCGCGCCATTCAACGGCGTCAACAGAGCGCTGCTCACCAGAATTGAAGCCACGCCACTACCGCCTAACGGGCCCATAACGGGACAGGAAGCCGTTACCCAACCACTGCAAGTGACGCCAGCAAATTTTGTTAATTGTTATATGTTCTTTGTAGAAACTAAGAAAATTAAATTAATAAAGTGCGATTTACCAGAGCCCCGAAACTACAAATTTATTGTAACGAACCCTGGACACGGCGAGTATACCCCAGCATCGTAGAAGAAGCGGCGGGGCGAATAAAACGCTTCGTTACAAGGTATACATAGGTAAGCGTTCATATATCACAAGTTACCTTTTTTCAACAAACATATACATTTTTCTTTTGATACTTTCGCTGGTCTACAGGCCAAAGAAGGCAAGAAACGTATTCATATTTCTACGGTATGTTTAAGGCGCTGATTCCGAATTGAGGGTATATTTTGTCAAATTTGCTCGAGTTTGGTAAATATTGCAAATTTACGAACATTTTCGATGGCTAAAATTCGCAACCCCATAAGCCCAAAAAACCATAGCGCAGTGGCAGTGACAGTTTTTAAAATCAGCTGTTACTGCTAACATTAGCACTGCCCCAGCAAACACAAAACGGCGTTGTCAGTGACTGCTTTTTTTGAGATTCCCTTTTGTTTGTTTACATTTTTGTTGTTGCCTTTTAGGATTCAGTGACATCAACAGAAGTTGGCTGCGTTTCTTTTATGTCAAATTCAACATGCGAAGTTTGTTGCGATGAAGGCAGTGGCAGTGAAGATAGAATCTGGGATAAACTGAGCAGTACTGCCAGCTGCCACTGCTGTATTGTGAGTCGCTTCATTGGACTCCACAGTTTCTAAAAAACAGCTGATTTCGAAAAACTGCCACTGCCACTGCGTTATTGTATTTTGGGCTATATTCTTCGTCACCGTAGGAGAAACCTGCTTATGCAAACAAATATGGAAGCTTCGAACTCAATCTAAAAAGGAGATATTAGTTTGATATACTTACATACACGGTTAAAAATTTCTGTTTTAATTTTAAACTTTTTGGACTACTTATATGACCAAACTAAATTCAGTTTCAAATACAAAACTTCCAAGTTAAAAAAAAAGGGAGAACATATATTGAGTTTAGAATTAAAACAGTTTGGTTTAAATTTTGAAACCAGACATTTTCATAATTAAAAACAAGTAAGAGCAGCGCTGTCTTCGGCTATGCCGAAGGCTCCATACCTTTCATGAGCATCTGAAAATTTTACGTTAACAGATTATTGCATTTGAAAAAATTTATATATTCACAGCAGATATAGATAGCGGAGATACATATATAAAAAATTCTAGCTAAACAATCAAAGGTATGGAAGATATACCTTATATAGCACCAATCTAAGTGATTTTCACTGCTGTGTGATCGGTACGTAAACCGGTACCACAATTTAATGGGAGATACATATATCGCAAAAACTGGTATCTGAGCAATCAGTGGTACAAGAGATTAAGATTATGCAGCATAGATTTTGACGATTTTCTCAGTAGACTTTGTATTATTATTTAAAAAATAGCTTACGAAGCTTATCGGTTTTAGCTGTCCAAATAAAGGAGTTTTACAGTAAAACCCCATATCTGAACAATCAGTTGTGTGGAGGCAATATATAAGTTATAGTGACCCGATCTTTGTTAATTTTACTGTAAACTTTTTGTTGATAATGAGTGAAAATAGTGCGAAATTTCATGTTTCTAGCTGCATAGATGGAGTAGTTATAACAAAAAATCGCATATCTGAACAATCAGTTGTATGGGAGCTATATGTTATAGTGGTCCGATTCTTCCGGTTCCGACAAATGATTAATACATTATAATAATACACCCACCTACCAAATTCGATCCGGATATCTCGAAAACTGAGAGACTAGATTGCATACAAACAGACGGACAGACAGACAGACAGACAGACAGACAGACGGACATAGCTAAATCGACTCAGCTCGCCGTTCTGATCATTTAAGTATACATTTTTTNTCACTGCTGTGTGATCGGTACGTAAACCGGTACCACAATTTAATGGGAGATACATATATCGCAAAAACTGGTATCTGAGCAATCAGTGGTACAAGAGATTAAGATTATGCAGCATAGATTTTGACGATTTTCTCAGTAGACTTTGTATTATTATTTAAAAAATAGCTTACGAAGCTTATCGGTTTTAGCTGTCCAAATAAAGGAGTTTTACAGTAAAACCCCATATCTGAACAATCAGTTGTGTGGAGGCAATATATAAGTTATAGTGACCCGATCTTTGTTAATTTTACTGTAAACTTTTTGTTGATAATGAGTGAAAATAGTGCGAAATTTCATGTTTCTAGCTGCATAGATGGAGTAGTTATAACAAAAAATCGCATATCTGAACAATCAGTTGTATGGGAGCTATATGTTATAGTGGTCCGATTCTTCCGGTTCCGACAAATGATTAATACATTATAATAATACACCCACCTACCAAATTCGATCCGGATATCTCGAAAACTGAGAGACTAGATTGCATACAAACAGACGGACAGACAGACAGACAGACAGACAGACAGACGGACATAGCTAAATCGACTCAGCTCGCCGTTCTGATCATTTAAGTATACATTTTTTATGGGTCTATCTCTTCTTATTCTGGTACTAACAAACATCGGACCAAAGTTATAATACCATTTCATGCTCATGAAAGGTATAAAAAAAAAACTTAATTTCATGCTCCGTCTGATGAGGATTGAACCCGGACAGCCTTGGTAGCAGCCAATTGTATCAAGCATCTTTGCACACTCAGCTACAGCCACGCATTTAAATGTGCTTTCATATGTTGAGTTTGAATCAACACCACATTTCGCTGTGTGAAAAAATTTTCTATTTCGGTTTAGATTTTAACCCAAATTTTCTATATATGAAACCTAGAAACTAGTATTAAAACATTTTGGTTTGATTTTTAAACCACGAACTTTTTGAACTAAAATTTAAAACACAATATATTAAAAATTGCTTAAAACTATTGACTGGTTTAAAAAGTAGACTATAAAATATTAAAAAAGGCAGTAGTCCCAGCGCGGTTTAAAAATTAAACCCAAATTTTTGACCGTGTAACGAACTGAACATGGAGGTTTCAGCTCTTAGCTAAATATAAATATTTCTGCAAATATTTGTTGGAGAGTACTGGATTTTGGTATTAAAGTATGTCTGTGAAATCAAATTCATACACTGAAGGAAAAAAATATTAAAATCAATCAGAAACCTAATGGATCTTACTATAAACGTAAACGTAAACGAAAGTACTGTATATTGGTAAATATTCAAATCAATTACGCACATATTAAAACGACTGACACACTGTTTTTTTGCCTCACTATTCCAACTGCAATCCTCAGTTCCATGGACTACATGGTGGCAAATAGGTAAAGAGGCAGGAGTTTATATGTCTGTAGTTACTGCCAAGCTGTTTTATGCGTAAAAACCATTTACCAAAATACCGATATGCCTCGGAGGGGAGTTCGCAACCGTTTAACGGACTACGATTTGAGGGCATGCTGGCGAGTTCCCTCGTAAGTCCAAAAGCTGAAATCACCACCATTCCAGAAATTCGTTTAACGGGATAGGCAAAAGGATGTATGTAGCCTTGCGACCTCTACCCATTTATGTGGAACATTTTTTAATTCCCGAAACCCCTTGTATAACATCAGTAGCTAAATTTCTTATTGGGAAATATTCAGTATCGCTAATAACAATCTACATATCTCCACATTAGAAAATTGTTAACGTTTTTTAACCGACTTCACAAAAAGGAGAAGGTTATCAACTCCCCATAATAGTTTGGTTTAAATCCAATTATCGGATCATGAAGAAATTAACGATAATCTAAAATTTTTATATGAGAATTGAAGTCGGTTTTGTTTTTTGTTTAAAAATTACTTGTTTAAAATAAATTTTTGAAACAAAAACACAATTAAAATTTAATACAATATACATATGTAAGTATGTACGACGTACATTTTACGTACATATTCGTTTAGGTATATTCAAAAATAGTAAATGTGGGCAGGTGTCCATATGTCAGTCGTCAAAGTGCCTGGTTGTAAATATAGGCTCTTCAATTACTCATATAAGAGTTCATTAGCAAGACAAAAAACGCATTAAGTAAATTAATTAAAAATATATTTATGTAACTACTCATATGTTTTGTTTCGAATACTGAACAAGCATGCATCATAACTCAACAAAGCTTGTATTCTTTGGTATGTCATTCACACGCCGGATGTGAATGGAAGCGCATCAACATGCTTTTTGCGCATTGTAAAAATATATGCATATGTACTTAAACCGACTGACTAGCTATATCTTATTTATCAGTATTTGTGTAAACACATATAGTGCTGCTTTGTGTGTTGATCATGAAGTACCCTACAAGACATTGCTGAGCACTTTAGGCAAAAATTCTCACACATTTACACTTTTGTTTTTGTAGTACGGCATAAATGAGTAGTTTGACTATTAGTACTGAGGACTTTCTGATGACAACATTGAGGGGAAAGTACTCAAATTTTTCCCATGGCCTGAACGAAAATGAGGACTTTGATAAGCACTTTTGTGATTAGGAGTAATGATAATATGAGTACTCATATGATACTCAGCTGTCTTGTAGGGTAGTTACTCAGCTGCTCTGTCACGGGGAAGTGGCAGTTGGCTAAGTATGCGTATACACGCTTAAGTGGATGGTGAATGAAGGGAGTATGTAACCAGCAAACAAAATTTGTCGTTCTCTGTAACATGCAGGTTTGAAAATAATGCATCTACTGCTTTTTTGCGAAAATATACTTATACGGGTGACAAACGGGCTCGCCTTTATTTGCATTAACCCATGCATTTTCCTCTTTAAAATGCGCTGAAGCAACCGAACAAATGCACGAATTTTTTGGGAATTAACTCCGATCAGGGGAATTATCGACGACAACAATGGTAAAAGCGACCAGCTGTTGTCTTTTATAAGAGTAAGCCAACAAATCAAGCGGATTTGGCGTCCGCGGTAGCCGAGTGGTGAGAGTTTCGTGCTACAAGTCTGTAGGTGCCAGGTTCGATCCTCGGTTG